AGTTGGTTTGTTCCCCTTGAAAAGTCAACTAATTTCCGATCAATGACAATAATTACATGTTTTAATTTTACTTTTACAATTGTAATATTATTCTTCGTGATGATTTAACTCCAGTCCCCGTTAAAAAAAACATTATTAACATTTTGCTTTCAAAATTACTTCAAAACATCTTTCAAATATAACTTACCAGTATGGATGCACACTTTTAAAATAATTCTACTTTAATTAAACTAGAAGATAATATAATCAATTAATCAATACGGTTTAGGAAATAAATTATTATTAACTAACTTTGCAGCAATTGCGCAAGTAATAATAACTTGTATTCGCACTAAATGGATTTAAGTTCATACAACATTATATATTATATATATATATATATATAGAAAGAAAACTGCACATGCATTCTTTCCAAAAATTAATTTTTAAAAAACTTTTGCAGATCTAAATTGTTCTTTTTCTGTTCAATAAAAATTTCATTCAAACATGACCAAAAAATAATAATCTAAAGCAAACGATTCTATATCAAGTATGTAATAGTATTAGGAACATTTAAGTAATTAGAATAATGCTGCAAATATTTTAATTTACAGCTAGATATATTATTAAATTATAATTAAGAAATGCATTTATTGCTTTTAAACTGTTAGGTTTGTTACACAATTACAAACTGATTAAATTTGAAAGTTACATTAAACATCTTATAGTTTCGTTGAACAGCAATATGCTAAGAAATGGTTAAGCATATGGTTATTTGAAAGAAAAAAAGATCTTGTTCTAGTGGCGACACTAGTTTGTGGCAAGTCACAGACTCTGCATAGGAAGTTTTTAATGCCAAAACACACGAAGATAAATGAACCTTGTACTTGGAATTTTAAATCTCTTTTGTTCGTTTCAAAGCTTACTTCCAATGACCCTCTGGGGTAGCATGAACTGGCTTAGTAGTGTACTATGATAGTAAAAACTCTGAGGGCACAAAATATATCAACCTAGATACCGGAAGGGGCAGTCAGTACTGTCCTGGAAAGCAGATGGCTTCAACGCTCTCAGTAGACTGGTGTCATGGCCAGTTCAACTCTCCACTCCACGCCCTCTGTGATGCATTGATCCTTGCGAGACCAATGACCCCTGCCTGAGATGGGATGTAACTACTGGGTGAGCGTTGTTGTACAATCTTGATTGGATGCAGTACAAGTAACCTCGTAACTAGTTACTCCCAATGCATTCTTTTACGATGTATTTTAGACTATTTTATGAAAATATTACTGATTTATACCACTTATGTGATATTAAAAAGCATTTAAGGGCGACCTTTTTTATCATCTTAATAAGATAAATATAAATATTTAATTAGCAAACTTTACCAGATTTATAATTTCTATGCAGAATATTTTATATAAAATGAATGCTATATTTACTATTTTTAAACTGGTGTATTTCACACCCCCTTTTTTTTTTTACAAAAATTGAAAGGAGTTACGCAAATAATTTAATTTCTGAAGAATGTGGTTACAAAGAACATAAAAAATGAATAATCTTCATGAATAAACAACTGCTTAACTACCACAATATTACTGATTTAAAAAGAAATGTGCATTCCAGTAAGAATACACAGTAATATTAACATTGAAATATCCAATACGATATCTTCATATCTGCTTTCATGTATCCTGAATGATCACACTTATTTACTGCTATTCCCTAAGCCTCAAATCATTCAGTGCTGCTGGAACTGCTGTCTGTGTTATCTGCTACAGATTCCAAATAATCACCATTGTTGGGTCTGTCTTCCCACATGCAATGATTGACCTTCAAAACCATCCACAGCATCCATTTTCTTCACTAGTATGCTTCAATATTCTCACTCCCAAAATCCGCAAGCAAATCAATTAATAAGATGAAAACAATCACTGTACAGATGAATGCATTTTAAAAGTTAGAGTAGCTTGTTTTTTTGAACATGCCGAGGAAGGGAAAATTATGAGACTATTTAAAAAACTTTCATAGCTTTATGTTAAAATGCTAGTGGAAAGTACACATGGTATTTACTAGTTCTCTTCAATGTTTATAATCATTATAAGCCCTTGGACTATACTGGACTGGATTATGCTAATCAATTAATGATGAAGCATACTGGGTTATCTACTAAAGGGGATGAGTGCCATAATGGATTACTTTCCGATGAAAACAAGGCACATACAAGTGCTTAATTTATGCATGAGAAAACACTGAAGCCTCATGCATTGACTGTTCTATTAAAAAAAATTAAACCACCAACAAAACTAGTTGTGCCTATAAACCTTATGAAAGAGGATTCACCAACATGGCAGCAAGCCAGACATCATATATATATATCTATATATATATATAAATGATTGAATAAGGTACAGATTTATTTGAAAAAAATTCTTCTGTTGACTTTTCACAAACAATATTCACTGAAGTACCGAAAGAAACTTGCTCTTATAACTGACAACAATCAGTTTTGCCATGAACAAGAATGTACATTAAGACACAATAACACGCCGAAATTTTGTAGATATAATGCTGATTTTTGTTGTTTGACTTCTGAATTAGTAAGAATGTACATGTTTAATTTTGTCCTAGTCTGAATGATGATCAAGATTCATTATCCATAACTTAGGCAAAACAAGTATATGACAAGTTTAAGTCATCAAATGTACCCAAAGGCTTAAGGCATACATCAAATTGGAAAAAAGGAGAATGAATTAGAGGCTCACAATTCCAATTACTTCTTCAAACTTATTACATATTTTTAACTACAACTTTGCATTTAAGGTCATGTGATTTCTAAGAAAATAGTGTTAGACTTTCAGTATTTCAAAGAACCTTTTCTCAGATTTTATAATCTGATCTCTAAAACAAGGCCTAACAAAAATATTTTACATACATTTAGAATATTATAATTTGGAAATGAGATAACATTTACCATCCTTCAATAGCACTGTAACAATGTATGCTCCAGAATTTTAGTGAAAATGATTTCTACACATACTTTTTTTTTTTTTTTTAAGGCCATCTTCTTATTATCATAGACTCATTACAAATACTTTATCTCGTTTGCTGTCAAGGAAATTCATTTGTGCATAATTTGGTTGCTGGTCTCATAATAAACAAGTAAAAATTTTACCCAATGTATTTTATGCTTTTCCCCAAATTACTGGGCATTTATTTGAAGCCATTCATCAAGAATGGCAAAACCCAAATATCATTTACCATCTCATCACAAAGAACACTGCTCTGTGTGCTCTAGAAGTGATAAGACTGCTACTACACTTGCAAGGAGAGGAAGGACACACACAAACAACAAAGCCTTACATACGATTCAAACACACATTGCTGGAATTTAGAATATCAGCCAGCCTTCGCTAACCATCATACCATCCTAGGTAAATCAAGACTTGTTCATATTTTAAATATTTTATTCCGATAAAACTTTTTGTTAAAGGAGACAATGAATCAAGTTCAAAAGCTGACATTTTCAGCAACAGATGAGAATACATTATAGTTTTACTGATATCAATAAACAGCCTTCACTTATATATTAACAGATTTTTCCATAAAAAAAATAAATAAAATAAAGAGGATTATTCTGAGCACTGCTTTTAAAATATCCATCATGAAAATTCAGTACTGGGTACAGTGAATATCTCTCTAAATCTCAATCTTTCTTTTGGTTAAATCAAATCATACTTTAAAGCATTACTTTGCATTAGTAAAATAAAATTCCAGTGCAGCTGATCTACAGTTTCTTATACATTATATAGATCATAATGCTTCCATTGGCATTATATAAAAATTTAATATGTACCACTGCATTAATATGCATCTATCTTTCAATGGTGTTGGTATATAAAAATACCAATATATATGTGGCTATAAATACATGGATTTTTTAAAATTATGCCCCTCCCAAATACAATTAACATATAAGAAAGCTCATATTAATTAAAAAGGACAAAGATTTCCTTAAAGAAATGCAGCACAGTTGTTCTAAAGCTACAAATGAAGAATATAATAAAATACTTTATTATTTCTACGAGGAAGAAGAGTATCTTTAAATTCCTATTTCAATAATTTTCAACAAAAAACTATTGATTATTGCATCTCCTTGATAGATATCTCATTTTAACAGAGCTTACACTAAATCATTATTTTCACATACTAGAAAATTGATATTCACTTAGTTAATGATAGAAAAGGATGGAAAACTATTTATCATTAAACAACTAGAAAAAATATAATTCCTATCCTTCCTCATCCATTTTTAGATTCGTTATCGTTTCTGCTACATAAATAAATGCTTTCCATTTTTTGTTTAAATTCTCAGATTATTTTTAAAACTAAGCACTATTAAAAAAAAAAAAAAATAGCACGTTATTTATTACTATTATGTAAAATCCTCAGAATGCAGTCTGCTAATCTCTTAGCCAAGTAAGATGTGGCCCTAATCATTCACATGATCAAAACCCCCTACACTTAAAAAAAATCCCATGAGCATGAAGCATAGCTTTATTTGGTGATGGCATAAGTTCTGCCCATTTTTATTACTATGAAAGAACTCCATGAGTAATCATGAAAATGTAAAAGCTTTGTATTTTAGTACTGATATTCAGAAAATGCTCAGAGAGTCAAAGGATACTCTGAAATGTTGATGAGAAAGGCATACTTCCGGCAACAAAAGAGATGGTGTTTAACGTGCCTCAGTGGAAGAACCTCTGAAGTTCTAAACCACTAAGTGGCAGTGCACTGTATACACATGTATTTATAGTATGCATGCATTTCATATGCACTATATACAAAAGAAACTTTTATAGCCTTTACCATACTGCTTTTGAATATTTTGCTTTAACATATATTTTAATATTCAGCACAGATTATATATTTTCAAAATCATCAAAGAATGCAATGTGAAAGTAGCAGATGGGGGAAAATATGAAATCAAAACAGCACACAACTGAAATAAATGGCTCCACAACTTGAGAGTTAAAACTTTTTATTTTCTCCACTTATTACCATTATTAAAATGTTTATCCAATAATGACACCATAATCCACCCAACAGCATTACATAATGCACCCAACTACACACACTCTTGAAATAAAGCATCTGGAAAATCTTACATGAAAGATAAAATTTCTCTACAGACTTTTTTTAAGTATAAAACTTAATTGCATGTCAGAAGAGCCCACCATTTGCAGAGACTGAATAACACCTCAACACTTTAGTCTTGAATTTAATTTCAAAGGAATGCATGAGCTTGCTACAAAGTACTTTTTGTGATTCTGTCATGTGTGAACATATATAAGACAATTTTTTTAAAAAGACTTTCACAACAAGCAATTATTCACATCAAAACGTACCTTTAGAACACACCACAAACTAACACACCCAAAAAAATATGAATTAGAGTACTGATTTGTCCAAATATTAGCAATTTATTGCAGGGAAAACATTTATATATATATATATATGTTATAATTTAGATATTATGACACAGTGATGATGCATAAAAGATATAGCAGAAAATGTTGCATACATTAACATTTCATTTCTTAAAATACATACATTTTATTTCTTGACACACACACAGCTAAGCTGGCACAAGACATGCATTTTTTAACGAGCGCTTACATTTTTTTGATGCACTTGCATTTATTAAGAAAAGTGATGACAGGAAGCTAGTGGGATAGAGAAGTGGAAAACGAATATGCAGATGATATCCTGAAAGTCAGAATTAAGACTTATTCAGTTTTGGTTCCTTTTGATTGGTTAAGTTACAGTTCAAAATTTTTAATGTTACAGTTGGCTGAAGCATTATATAAGAACCATGAGAAAAGATATTGAAATAATGCAGTTTAGAAAGATTTACCATAAACATGTTACTACATTTAAAATAAAAAGGGAAAATAACCAATTTAAATATGAAAGTCAATAGGCTATTGCGAATTAAAGTGAGTACTTATTTCTTAACTTACATATATGTAAGAATTTAGGTGATGGTGATGTGGAATAAAGATTAAGAACCATTAACCCGTTCAGTACGGGTGCGTCATATGTGCATCAGCAGCGAACATTACCTCACGGCAGGGTGTGTCATATTTGAATCGCCATTTAATTCACTCTACCGGCCGGGCATACCACATTTGACTTTTCAGATAGAACGTTTAATTATTATTTTTCATTGCTGCTAGATGTAGCTGTATGCCTGTTATGGGGAAATATATCAAAAGTTAAGTATGTTTACTTTCATTCTTATGCAATGATTTTTATTTTTGGTATTTTGTTTCAGAATGAGAGTGAGATTTATGGGTGGTTGTTGAGCAATGTAATGTCTCTTTAACTGCATCATTTGATATAAACAAATGCACATGCTCTCACTGCATTGAGGTACTTTTTATTTTTGCAATATAGAGAGATAGATGTTTTACCATTCGAGATTTTTTTTATTACGCTTAAATTCTTCCTTCTTTTTACTATTCTTAGATTTTTCGTGCTTTGAGATGAATATTTTTAATCATCAGCAAAACGTATTTTTTTAAAAGGCAAACAAAAGCAGTATCTAAACATAGAATATATATAATCACTAATTCGTTAGTGTTGAGTAATGTAATGGCTCTCACTGTGTCATTTTATATAAACAAATGAACATGTTCTCGATGCTCTGGAATACTTTTAATTTATTAATTTTTCTTATTTTTTTATCGGTTATAGTGGAGTAGATGTCATTAGAGACTTTTTTATTACTCTTTGAGTTTCCCGGCATTGAGACGAATATTTTATAGCGCTTAGCGAAAGGTTTTGTTTTTAAATGGCAAAACGAAAGCACTATCTGACCATAGAACATATACAAATGCTAAAGGGAGTCAAATTTGCTGAGTAAATATTCCTGTGACTAATGCAACGTTGGACGTTTACCATGTTTACCATTGCGTACAACCATGTTTCAAAGAATATCATACACTGTCTCATTTTGAAACATTGCTTACTTTTCGGTGTTTGCTCGTTGAATTTTTATGAAAGACATATTTTTAATATTTTTTAATTTTAATTATGTGTTGTGTTAAATAAAAATCTGCGAGTGTTTGGATATTTTTCCATATATATTTATTTGTGGGATAAGGAAAAAATTATATTATTCTGGAATAAGTATTTTTTAAAATTTTTAAGGAAAATATAATAATAAAGGCTTAAAACTAATTCTGACGACTACCTGAATGCTCTTCTCATAACGTACCCAAAATTGGAAAAAAAATTTCATTTATACGATTTTTTTTCCAAAGTTAGGCTTAGCAGCATAAATTGCCCGTACAGGACGACGCATCCGGTTAATGCGCCGTCCCAAAAGAACGCTTCGGTAACACAGGTGCTCGTTGCGAACGGGTTAATGAATGGTCAATTGAATATTTTCATTTATTGCTGATAAAACAAATTTTTCAGTTAAACACAGTTAAATAGGCTTAAAAAATACATCTGTTCTTGAAACAGTGACAAATGCTTTTAATATTGTTGCTACATATTTGAAGAACAGAAGCGCAGCATGCAACCAGCTTCTTGCAAAGCAGAGAAAAAGTCTACAGATGATACCTCGAAAATCTGAAAAAGACTAGCTTAGTTTTGGTTCAGCTTCATATTGACTGATCTTGGTTCCTAAATTTGAATATGACTGGCTACAGCATTATGTGTCTGTGTCATTAGCATTATGCAAGAATCATGAGAATTAATTCTGAAATGATGCATTGTAGGGAGGGCTAATCTGAGCAGCTACTATTTTTCAAGGACAGAAAGAAATAACTACATTTAAAGAAGAATTAAGGCTACTGTAAATTTTAATTAGTATTTTATCTTATATATCCTCCTTAACAGAGAAAAAAGGTTTGACAACTGAAAAGCTTTTAAAGAAGAGAAATAACATAATGTGTAAAATAAAAATCATGAAATTTCAAACTAGATAATATTTTTAAATGATACAGAATAAAAATTTTGAGCCTATGTTTTTAAAATTAAACAATTAAGTCTCATTAAAATTCTGATATTCAGTCCAATTTCAAAAAGTCCCTTTTTGTTTTTGCAAAAAAAATTTTTCCACAGAAGCCTTAATCCCCTGTGAAAGAATATCATGTATTGAAAAATTTCTCATAACCATTACTTATTTCAATACAATGTAAAAAATTGAAAAAATGTATAACATTCTAATTTTTATAATTACAATCTTCCTTTTAATATTATAAACAATCTGTTTTAAAAATATGGTTGCATTCTTTTTATATTTGACTTCAAATTCCTAATTTTACTTTAAGAAGTCCCCACCATTCTCTAAAAACAAACATTCCCATATAAAAATTACGTATGTGTAACTGACCTGGCGTGTTACTTGAAATGGCCTCCATTCCTTGCATAAAAACTGGCCAATTGAGAACTGCATTAAAATATTCCAAAATAAAGATTCTATAAAAAATATCGCATTCTTATAAATGGTAACCTTCATCTTTTATTGTAAGAGAGGGTAAAAGGAAAAATTAATTCAGAAAGAAAAAGCACCCCTGTTATTCTGAACCAATGCTCCTATCTACATCATAGTCTACTTCTTAGAAATAATTATTAATTTATGTAACTAGAACAAACAGTCAGATTAATTTTATTATCAGATTATTTCAGATAACTTTTCCTGCATTTCACTTTTTAATTAACTACCCATATTTAAATTTATAATTATTCAATTTTTAAATCATTTATATTTTAATATTGATAAGAACATTATCTAAAATCACAACTTTTCGTAATTTCTAACATTAACACTCGCTTAAACACATAGTTTTTATCATTTTCTCTACTAATATTCAAAATTATTTCATATTATTCCTGTTTCATATTTACCACATTCTCAAAAAAATTTAAAATTTTTATCAATTTATAAGTAATAATACATTAAATGTTGATAACCTAAATTTATTCAACAATGTCAGTTCTAATTATTCAACAAAGTTAGTGAAAGTTACTTTTTAATATATCATAAAATCTCTTAGCTGCAATAATTAAGTACTAAAATTAAATCTGCAGAACTTCAAAACAGAAACACGTGTAATAATCTAAAACTGTACCTTATTTAGAAGTCAATGTTGCTGAAAAAAATGTAGCTTCCAATCAGAATTTAAAAAGACCTCTTAAAAGGTATAAAACGTTACTTGCTAAGTGAAAGAAAAAGTTTCTGTTTTCTTGTCTGACAAAAATATATTGAGACAAATCTCAGCATCAGCATATGGGAACAGTTAAAATGCAAAGTTAAAATGCTATTACAGATTAGTTACTATTTTATATTACCTTTCTTTTATCCTATATTATATACATGTATCATTTACACAACGTTGCAGAATATGCACTGAATAAAAATTTATTTCCTGAACATTTAAAAAATTACAAAGAGTTCTTTGCAACTTTATGAGTTTTCCTTTCTAAAACTTTAAAAAGGATATTCAACAAATTTTTATCTAATTTATTTGCATGCTTCATTCTAAAACATTTTTGATTCTTTATTTTTACTTCATATAGTAAATTTCCTTAAAATTTTAATTAAATGTCCTTTATTCTATATAATAATGCACACAACCTGAAAAAAACCCAAATGTGTAAAACTAAACTAAGCACAATGAAAAATATGGGGATTACATTTCTTCCACATGCACAGTTCTTCATTCTAGTTTAATATCTGATATCATTGGACATGGGAATAGTTTTCAAAGCAGTCAACTTGCACATAAGGCAACACAAATTTTCATCAACAAAAAGTAAATGAAGCTTAATAATAAATTAAATGGCTACTCATCGCAATAAAATGCTAAAATCCCGGTTCTCTCTTAAATGCAAACGAAAACACCGCTGGAGAACACTGTTCTGACTAAACTATCTTTCACCTAGACTTCCCACCAGAATGGATAAGGCTGCTGAATACAGGATATTTGATTCAAATCCAAGCAAAGCACCAGGAAGCACAGGGTTAACCAAGTCCTCTTAGAAAGGGCTACATGAAAGTGTCCCTCACTTTAAGCAAATAGTCATCACATGTTTTGTCTTAACGAATCATCCTTTAGCTAGATTACCATTTTAGAATACTTAACTATTATTTTCAGGGTTACTCAATTCATATTTTTCATTTTATATATTATCCGCTGTGTTCCTAATACACAGAAATGCTCTTCATAATGAGGCATGTAGTCACAAAGAAATAAATATTAGCCACTTAATATAAAAAAAATCAGATTGTACATAAAATTTAAAATAATTCAAAACTACTCAAAATTAAACAGTAATTTAATTTGCCATTTACGGTTGCAAGTTTTTACCATTTCTGTTCAAAAAAGAGATGCTTCTAACAAAGATTACAATATTAAAAAATGCTAGGAAAAGGAGTACCAGAGTTGACATTCTCATAAACAGCAGCAAACACATTAGAACAGAAAAAATAATAATTATAAAAATGATGAAAAATCAGTATGTAAATTTCCACAGAATGAATTATTTAAATATTTTCATACACAGTAAAAGTCCAATAATCTAGCACATCTGGATTTTTGCAATGCCAAATAATCAAGTACAGTAGTGGAATTCAATTTCTTTCAATCCGATGTCAGATGGAGCACCCGAAAAATCTTAAGAAATTAAATTTCATTTCTCTTCTATTGGCTGTATGGGTAAAGCCATATTCCACTGGTACTACATGAGACTGGAATCAGAGTTCTGTAATAAGATTACATTAGGAAGCTGCTTTTGATTTTTAATATCAGAAATGTTTTCTCAGAATTAGTTAAAGATGTAAGGAAGAACCACAACATATAAATAAATAAAGCATTCAATGTTGATCTTTTTTTTAGCTTTAATTTGGAGAGCTTACAAAATGAAACAGTTGAATGATGAATCAGACAAAATTGTAAATGCAACCAAACAATATTTTTTTTTTACTGAATGCATTGAGAAATGAAAAAATAATGCATCTGATAATTCTGCAAACATATTTAATAGGCCTACCACAGCAAGGCTTCGATACTCCTTAGCTTCAAAGATAAATCATAGTTGCAGCTGGAGTACACCATAGCCCTAAATAAGATGAGCCCAGGCACTTATTTCTTTTAAAAACTGAACCATAATTTCAACAGAAAATTCTTCTGATTTCATAACATCTCATGGTATCTTTCTGATTATTCACACTTGTTTATTTAAAAAATCTCTTCACAAAAACTGTGAAAAAGTACTAATGATGCAATAACAGTGTGTCACTAATAAATATTTATGGAACAACCCACGATGCTGCCAGAAAATATTTATGCGCCAATGTAGCCTATATGTGTTTGAAAAAACACATTTCTTTGTGCATTTCATACTTTTGTTTGTGTTGTAACAAATCCTAATGCGATTGTGGTGTTTGCCAGCTAATCAAAAAGAAAGCGCTGCATTTCTTCAGATATAGGGTGTTTTGTCCAGCAATAAAAAAAATGCACAAATTAACATCATATGAAGTTGTACTTCTCAAATAACCGAATGTGCAATGCGAAAAATTGCAGTCAGAATGCAGGTTAATACTGGCTTAAAAATCTCATCAGCAACTGTCATTCGCTTTATTTATTGATCAACAAAGGAATATGTTACTGAAATTCTGTGAATAAGTGGGATTATACAATAAACTGGTATAATAACCTCCAAGGAGTATGCATATCTTCTAAGAAAAGATTGTTTACAAAAAAGGCAGCACTAGATGCATCATTGAAACAGACATGAGCATAGTCAAACATTTCTCTCAAAAGTCACCAACCACTTTGCAACTTTTCAGTAGAAGGCACAGATAATAAGAAAGCACCCATCTGATAGCAATAAATAAAACCTGGAAGTCGATATTAACTTCTGAATGCATATGCTTATTTTTACCTAGGAAACAAACTTGAGTAAAAATAGACATTTAAAACAAGGAAAAAAAAAAAAAAAAAAAAGGCTCAACCATATACTGAAATTTAAACTGCAAGAAGGGAAATAAATTTATTATGGCTTGTTTGTAAATGGCAAATTTTCGCTCCCTAAAGTAATAGCACAGATTATAGTATCCACAGATTTGGTATTCACAGGGAGACAGGAAAGAGGGAACTATCTTGTTATGCTCCCAAATCACAATATTATAACAGACTTACAGTAGTAAAATATTAAGGAAAATAGCTCAGACATGTACAACACTGGTGCCTTCCACATGGAAGAGCATTTATGGTCTTTTTGAACAGATGTAACACTGAATATGGGGGGATAAAAATACTTATCTATTCAGAACTTTTCTCCCTCTAAGCTTACAGATCACTCTTTGGATTCAGGGGCAAATCCCCTCCCTTTGTCATGCATTCTGCTTGATAGCTATAATTATATCAGCAATGATTTGATATCAGGAGAGTATTTGACTCGTTTGTTTTTATATGTAAACTTTTCCATTAAAATTTTCTTCCATATTCTCATACTGTTTTTAGCATTCTCGTTTCACTAGTGAAAAAGAATTTGTGTTTTTATTATACCTTGAAAGAAAACATAATACAATAAATTTCCAGACTTCTGCAGCCCAGCTCACGTTTTAAGTTTTTAAGAGAAACTGTAATTATAAAGTTCTAAATGAGATGAGATCTAGCATTTTGTTTTATTGTTTAACTATTTGTCATTAATTTTACTTCATTTTTCTCTTTATGTTTCATTTAATATTGAGGATTTTTTTTATTTATTATCTTATTTTTGTTCGTCTTTCTGAACAACCCAAAGGACTCTGGCACTTATAAATTTGGAAATTAAGTCCTGATGAATGCACAAAGCTCACCTATTTTTTAGATTCCACTCTAGCAGAAAGTGAACACTGAATGTTCTCAATTTGAGATCAAAGGTTGCAAGACATACTCTACAACTGTTGCGAAAGACAATCTTTCAAACTTAAGCAAGTTAAAAAAAAAAGTCCCATGTTTCTGCTTCGTTCCTTTCCAAAATGTTTACCAAATTTTGAAAATATTTTAAATGAAGATATGAAAGCAAATAATACAAAGGGAAAATTTTAAACTAACTTAAAATGGCAAAAAGATGTGAAGCAACTGCTCAGCCTTTTCAAAAATTGCGAAAACAATTCGTAATAGCATCACCTTTCGATAGGAATGTTGCTGAAAAAGATGTTGGATCACTGGACCTGCTGAACAGTTAAATGTCAGATTAACAGGTTTTTACTACCAAAAGAACAAAAAATTTTGCAAGGTTTTTTGTGACACAGTTTAAAATTAAAGGCATGTCACCCATGTGTCACAGTGATGTATTATTCAGCACATTCAATTAGCAAATGGAAGCTACCATTCTTCCAGTCATCTCATGATTCCTCATAAAAGTACAGTTTAATTTTTCTAGCCCCCCCCCCAAAAAAAGACCCTGGAGTCTCATACATAATCATTCTAACTAAAATGTGGTTAAGGCTAACTTATTTTTTAAAGGGCATACATGATCTGAATGTAGTTAAAATCAAATGTTTTAGGTTAAACAAAAAGTAGCTTCTTGGGTTACCATTGCTTTCCTTTCTTAATAAGAGCTAAGATTGTAGCTTCAAATGACAAAGCAGATAGGTGTCTGTGAAAGTAGCATTTTTTGGTTATGTTCAAACTTTTGTATGCAGTCGTTTCGTATGCCAATCAAGAAGGTTTTATTTCATTTTTAGGTAACTTATTTTCACCTTCATTTTGCTGACTGGGTCTTGCCGTCTCCTTACAGTTCCCCTTCAAGTGGCAGAAGGAATTAAAAGTGTTCACCTCACAACTCCTTGTGGTCAGTATACCCAGCTAGTATGCTAACATAAAAGCAACAAAGTTCAAATGCTTGGTTAATTTTTCAGGCCTTCCTACTTTAAAAAATAATAATAATGAGTCTAAGAGACCTCAGCAGACTTCAGATAATAATGGTAGTGATGATTTATGTCAGAACATCGTGAACATATTTTTTGCCGGTGCAAGCTTAGAAAGTTTACAAAATAATCACTTAAAATCTTGAAATTAGTTTGGAATCACACACACAACAGAATTAGGAAAATGTTAAAGGAAAATACAGAACTGTCACTGTTTGAAAGGACTATCCAAAAACACTACATAATTTCAATTTTTCACTATTTTGAGAATGACCATAAACTTTAAAACACTTTATCAGATACAGGAATTCAAAATTATTGGAAAATAGCTTACTAAGTAAAACAGATTAATGCATTTTACACTGCATAATTTTAAATTAAAAAAAAAAATTAATACTTCATATTATAGCTCAACTGTTTTCATATTATAGCTCAAGATGAAACTCTTATGCCCAGGACTTTAATTAATCTCTGTACTGTTCTAATATTGCACATAATTAAAATTTAGTATGATCGTAGTAATAGATGAATAACAGATGTTTTTCTCATTTTTTGATTTTACTTTGAATATATTTATTCCACTTATAAAACTCAACGAAAATAGAAAAATAGCCGAAACTGGCAGCAATCAAAATTAAATCAACTAAAACTTAACACTACAATATGCACAATTTTATTCCAGTCACACACAAATACACAACAAAATTGTTCATTTTTCGGACATAAAGAAATACATTTTTACAATTAAATAAATCACAGGAGCAATAATGGTTACTATTCAATCTTTCTGCAACGTACCATTATTGCTACAGTATTTCTTTTCACAAAGTTATAATTTCAAGTGTTTGTCAATAAAATATTTTATTTACATGACCTGGATTGAAATAAAAAATCTCACTGGAAAAAATGAATGAAATAAACAAAAGGCACCGGCTAGCAATTAAAAAAAATGTTTTTTTAGTAAAACAGCAGCTGATCTCGGGCAAAATTGGCACCATAATGATGACAGCAAAGTACAGATGAATACAGACTACAGAAAACTGCAGGGGAAATACTTACACAAAATTAAAAAGGGAAGGTAAGAAAGTGATGGAATACAGAACATTTTAAATAAATCAAGGTAAAAAGAACTTTTTTCCCCTTCCTGTACTGATTTTCTACATACATGCAAATTTCAATTGAGATACAGACTATATAAGAATGAAAGAAGTTAGTTCTAGTTCCTTCTGTTAATGGAAGAAACACTTTTCTGGTGACCACTCGACCCTATGAAAATATAAGGTCAATTTCTCTGATAAATGTAAATTTCTAATTTCTCCTCTGATTTGATTTAAAAAGCTTCAGAGTAAAAACTTTCAAAGGTTTAGTCCCTTTACTACAATGATCAAACCTTTTAGCACTTAGTTCAGTAATTCTTGGTACAGTAGCACATGCAGAATCTGTATTAAGCAGTGCACCTTCATTTGGTTCTAATTATCTAACAGATGCTTTAGTAGGAAATAAATACAATTATAATCCAAATGAGAGTCACTCTTTTCAAATTAATTTAAATCCTTTTCATAAACAATAATTACAGCCAACTTCTTGTTTTTATTGGCTTAAAAACAAGGATTTTTTACAAGAGAAAATATAATTACTGATTAGGTCCCTGTCATCAAATCTGTTACTTAAAGCAAGGAGAAAAAGAAAAATGAATCTACTCATACTGACATCAGTGCAATGCACCAGCATAAGCACACTGGACCAGCATCATTGTCAATACACTGAAAAATAAGACAATGTACATAAAATTACACACTGAAAATAAAATTGTAGGAGGCAAAAAAAAGCTTATTCACACTTTTCTACTTCTCATTATTGTCCAAGGATTAAACTCGGAACCTTTTACTCTATTTCTTTGCGCTTTACTTCTGTGCCACAGAGCTTTGTCATTTGACACTTGAATTAGGCATTTTGAATGCTGTCTTTCCTACTGCAGTCACAGACATCCATCTGTCAGAAAAGCATTTCTAAGGCCAAATCTTTATTGCATTTTAGAATTCTATTTTACACATTTGAAAAGTTTACTCATTCATGCTTAAGGATATGCAAAAGCCCACACCAGAAATAGTATCTAGACACTTTTCAAATGAATCCCGCTAAGTATTAAATATGTACACTGCTATTTCCCATATTTAATTTTCAAACATTAAATATTACACAAAAAGCAAGTATACACTATTTTCATATTCAAAAAAGGTAAATTTCACAAAAGAAAAAGATCAAAAATGAAAATCTTGCATTATTCATAAAAAGGTGGGGGAAAATGCAAACCAGTTTTCGGAACTTACTGCGAGCTGTGACTTATCACACACACCTCATAATAACATCAAATCAGGTTTATGAATTTTATCAAGGCCAGGACCGCAGGGCTGTGGCCTCTAATGTTGATATGGGCTTTGAGCACCTTAGTGGTGAGAAGAATTTTGAAAGAGAATCTCACTAGAACTGATCTAAAGATCTCCCACCTTTTTTCCCTAGAACTAAAACCTCTTGTGAAATACCTTTGGCTCGCCAGTATTTAAGTGCACCCATGCCTATATACTTAAAAACATCCAAGCCATCTCTGGGATTCAAACCTGGACCTAACAATACGGCAGCCACCTTCACTAGAAACTATACCAATCAAAACTTATTGTATTCAAATACACTAGATGAATAATTATTTTTTTTAATTTATTGAAACCTAACATTCCTGTAGTTTTAATATTTTTTTACTACAGTCTATGTCATTAACTCACATCTATACTAGTAAAATATCTCTCAGCATCAATGTTATTAATAGGATTTGAATAGCTGCCTTTGAGACTTTTTTTGTTTTTTTGACAGAATAGAATATTTCTGCTTTAAGGACCTGCATGATATGAATATGAAAGACTTGAATAATTCTGTAATGAAATTGCTTACAATTATTAATGATCTCACCTTCTAAAATATCTGTCTTTTTAGAGAAGCTTACCAAAAAGTTTAGCTTCAAAGCTGATGTAGGAGTGCTTGTGATTACAGATGCACAATATAATTAGCAAATATGCTTACAGACTCATTTACTGCATTGGATAGCATCTGTCGAGTAAATTAATTTAAACGTTTCTCTGCTGTTGTCATCAACACCATTCTACTTCTGATCAACTTCCATTTCTTTTTTGTCAATATACATTATGTCTTACCCTAAATATAACAAACCAAAAGATTTCTCAAGAGGTTGGCATTAGGGAAAAATAATTTAAAACACATAAATTCTAATTTTTAAAGAGTTTGCCCTCAAAATCAGACAGAGCTTAGGAAGATTACCCTTGTGCGGTTTGTCATAATTAAGTAACCCAATTCTAAGCAAAGATCCAATACATACATCACTCATAAATGTTTTTAGACAGTGACAGCCAATATGCATTAAAATTATTTTTTAGATGTATAAACTTTTATATGTCCACAGATTATAATTTATGACAGCAACTGCAATTTACCTGTCGTAGAATAAATTATCCATTGTAGAATAAATTTAAAAAAAAAGGAGGCTGAAGTGAAACCATTGTCAGTTTATGTTTTACGATTTAAATTAAGAATGCTTTCAATGCCTCAAATTAGCACATGGAAATGACGCTCCATCTTCTGCCTCTATATTCATATGATTTAGAAAATTTAAAAGGTAAAATTATTTTAAATGGAAAGTGTACAGAAAGACCTTCGACAGCTGCTTAGTCCCAGAAAATGAATAAAAAAATTCTCCATACAAAAGAATGATGGAGGACGCATTATTTCCAATATAACATCTAGTGAAGTTTTGTGATGTGCTACATGGTTTTTTTTTTTTTTTCTTTTTAGTTTCAACACACCAAAAAAGTGAATTATGAATCTTTGAGGATGACCCCTAACCTACAATGGTGAAAAGACAATGGGCAATGAAAAAAGTAATATATGCCTTTTTCTTCAAGGGTCAAAGCCATCAAATAAAATGGCCAGCAGACACTTAGAGCTAAATGGTACACAAAATGTCTTCCATAAATTCATCAAGAAGTAGATATTAAGGGACTCTTGCTTCACCATAATAATTCATCTTCTCATTCAATATGACTGACAGTTGATTGTCTTGAACAGAAACACGTCTAAGTGACAGAACATTCACCCTACTATTCTGATCTTGCATTGTGACCTTTCGCTATTTTTTAATCTAAAACAAAATTTATCAAAAGGTTATTTTTAATTTGAAATATGATTAATTATGGTTCATAAGCATCAATTCCAAGAAATGGTTACCTTGAAGCATTTATCTCTGAAAAATCTGCCGACTAAAGTGCATTGATGTTGGAAAGGGCTACTTTGAACAATTAGGTTTAATTACATTTATTTTGTACCATTTTAGCAGTAACTAAAAAATTTCAGAATGACCTTCATATTGTATTTTATTTATTAGAAGAGTTATGGAAAACTTTTAGGTATACATTTGCATCTAAGTATGATACAGCTCTAGAAAAGCTAAAGATGATATAAAAAGCGAAAAATGGTTAATTATGCAGTGCTAAATACATGTAATCATGCTGTACAAGAAACAGATAATTTTGATGAGCCAGAAATGACTCGGAAATAAAGAACTATGTAGTTTTCTTTTGGAAGGAATGAGTGAGTAAAATTAGGGTGAAAGTTAGTAACTGTTAGTAAATGCAAGCAACTAATAAAGAAATGATGCATAAAAAAATACACAATATTAAGTTCTTTAAAACAGGAAATAAAAACTAGTTAGAAAAAGCCTGAATCTGTGTAAGCTTTGGGTGTTCTTAGTTACTACACCTACATACAGCAGAAACATGTTTAGTCGATAAATCTTTTGTAGTTGGTGGAAAAGGGTCCAAGACCCTCTAATATCATTTCCCAGATACTCTTGGTTAAAAATGGAATGGTGTCTGGCGACAGTAGATATGTCAATACTTGTTAATGGAACAAAACACTCATTACCTATTCTAATCTACCATTTCCTGACTGACACTTCGTTCAGACGGGGACGTAAAGGGCATAAGTGGTTAAAGCCAAGCTCCATTGCCAAGGCAACCAGTCTGTGCTACGTCACAAAATCTGGTTTAGGGCTCGTAGCATAGGGTTCAAAGTTTTCAACTTTACGCAGAGTTTGGGATAAGCGTTGACCAATCAGAGCAAAGCTAAAATGAAATGGTGTTCTACAATAGATTTCGCTGCTACAAAACAAGCAGAGCGAAAGCGGGAAATCAATTGAGCAGGAGACCAGCGCAGGAAAGTTGTAGACACATCCACGCATACGCAAATTTAGCTTCTCTCATTGGCCACAGCTTACAACGCATTCTCGCATGAACGGAATTCCCGTATTTTATGCCCTTATGACTACGCCTCTATGCCGCCATCAGAACACAGCCTTAATCTCAATTCTCATACACAGTAAGCAACACCACTAGATATTAAGGGTCAGATACTAAGGGATCATCACTCTTTGCATTATAACTTCATGAGTTGGTGAAGGATGCTTAAAAAATTAAATTTAGTATCTGTGATACAAAACCATTCCCACAATCTGGCATGCACATTCCTTCACAGAAAATTTACTATTAATAACAAGTGAAGAAACAAGAACGAACAACGAAAAATAACTCTAGGTTCCGTCCCCCCAAAATATTTTTACTTTATTTAAAAATAAATTTTCCAAGTGCTTTAATTTTGTTATTTCTTACCTAATATGCCATCTATATGTGTTTTTAACAACATTTTCACTAAATTTTCATGACGATAAGCTGTATATTTCCCCATGAGAAAAATTTTCATTTTTTTTTTTTTTTTCTAGAAAAAGAAAATGATTCTCACAGCCAAATGTATGTAAAAATGCATCTAATAGTAATATTTAAAAAAGGCCAAAGTTACTTGAGAACAGTGAGAGAAAGGTCATAAGACTAAATTAAAAAGGAGCAAAAGTTACATTTTTTTCTAATGGACAAAATGATGAACAATGCTTAAAAAACTAAGATGATTATAGAACTAAAATGGCAAGTATAAAATTTACTTGAGAATCCAAAAACTTTGGATACCATGAAAATGTCACAAATCATCTACAATTTTTAATATAATAGATATACGAATTAAAAAATAGCTTATTTTATAGAACATCAGATTTTATATTACATTAGTTTGTAAGAATGAAAACAATTTTTGTGTGTGTCAATCAAAAATACCAACATTAGACAGAATTTTCCATGATTTAAATTATAAAACTAAATTTAAAATACTAAATGTAAAAATAAAAAATATAAGTACTTATATTTTACTTTACTGTTTAAGTAGTATGATAACAGCAGAATTGATAAATACAGAAATTGTAACATCTTAGATCAAAGACCACATAAGAACATGCCAAATGAACTAAATGCTAAAAGGATCCCTGTCCACATTCACAGTTGATCCTAAAAACCATAACACTGCATATTACTAATTTCTGTTTTCTTTAGCACATCTGATAAAATTTAAACAAAGAACAATGCAACTTTTTGACATACCACATTGATCCCTATTAATGAAATGAGGATATGGAATGTGAATCTTCAAGTAATTCTACTTTAAGTCATTACTAAGAGAAGACATGCATAAGAAAGCAGCAAATATGATAAAAACTTACATTAGTGGGAAAAAAGGATGATTTGGATAACACTAATCTTTAAGTTTTATGATGACTGGAAATTAAAAGCAATCATCAGTACTTTTATACAAATTGATTAAAAGTATGTTTAGTACTAAAACAAAATTAGTGCTAATAAAAGCTATTTTAAACCAATTTGCAAAAATATTTTTATTTATAAAGTTTTAACTTTAATACAGAGTGGCCACCAAAAATATTTCCAACTTTGATCATGCTAGTTAAAGTTTTCGAAACAACATATACTGGCATGCACCCCTCTCTATACAATTCAGAGAGCATCCACTCTTCTCTGACTCTTTGAACAGTAAAGTAAAGTAGAGGTATGCATCTCATACATAAATACACTCACTTTATCAAGAATAAAAATGATTAAAAAAACACACGTCCCTTTTGGAGTGTGTTCGGTGCTAATATGTACCCAATCAAAATATTTGTGGGATTACAAGAAGAGAAAATCAAATTATCATTGGGATTTTAAAATTTGGCAAATGCAATATTAAATTGAAATTAGTTTTAGAGAAAAGCCAGAAATGTGATCAATGCAATCACCTTTATCAATACTAAATATGAAAATCATTCAGTTAACGCAACAAACAGCTTTTGGCTTTGTCATGCCCCTGGCACATAAATATTCATACTGTTATATCTTCAACTATTATGACAGTTAAAAGGCAAACATATATAAATCTAACAAAAACTGAAAAATTTTACAGAAAAAATACTGAGGTACAAAAATCTACGGTATTAAATTCTCAAGGTGGGCCCATTGTAAAGGTCATAACATATAACGTTAACAAATTCAACTGCAACAAAAAATTTTGCAACAAGCAACATTACCAAAAAAATACGGTGAGAACACATTCAAGGTATTTACAAACGATCTTTTGTCATATCCAACAAAGATAACTTCAAATTTGAAACACATTTCAATTTCCTTATCTTGCATACACATATTTTTTGCAGATTTCATCTTAATTTTTCATGAAAATGCGTCAATTTTTTACAGATCCCAGCTGAACCTATGACAGGAAAACAATTATTTGTAAATGCTATATTAAACAAATAACAATAAATTTATAACAGAAGGCTTACAGCTTGAAATTTTTAAAGTATTAAACACACACACACAAAAAAAAAAAAAAAATCATAATGATACTTAAAATGCTAAGACCTATATGACAAAATGCAATTTACAAATATGATTTAATCACTGTTTATAATGGGTTCAAAGATTAGTCTAGCTCTGCTGATCTAATAAGCAAATGTAACAATAACTTGATAATACTCAAATGAGAGAAGCTTAGCATTTTAAAATTACATTTTACACTTTCATTTAAAGTATTTCCTAAGTTATCACAAATTCTTACATTAACAAAGTATTAGTTATTTTGTGCATGAAAGCAAGCAATCGATAAAAACTTCGATCATTAAAAAAATGAACATGCATAGCTCTCAACAATTTGCTGACATTCTTAACATACTTTAACAAATATTTCTCAAAGATAGAATTTGAAGCTAACCATGGCCAAACAGTAAACAATGATACTTATGGTTATACACAATGCATCATAAAACTTTGCTATGAATTTAACATGACAAAATTACTCTTATGCTATAAAATATTTATAAATCCTCTAGAATCTGTAAAATCAGTTGTCCTCATACATTTAGTTTAGCTCCACAACTTGGCATATTTTACCGGCGGGAAAGCGCGTGGGCTGTATCATACCCCAACCCTATATAAAAGTGGAATATTCCTAACTTGTGAAACTGAAATTCTGTGCTGCTTTCAGTAGCTGAGTTTCTAGTTCTGGTTGACTTTCAGAACCGCTTTTTCTTTGCCTGTGTGTTTCAGAAAAAGATTTATCGGTATTTTGTTGGAACTGGGGTATGACACACCCCACGCGCCTGTTCGCATAAGTGTTCTTCTAACTGAATATTTAGTTCATAAATTTATTTCCAGAGTATAACAGTAAATATTTCTACTCGCAAGTGATTTTGAAGTACTTGACATTAAATTCTTAGAAATTTCTAACCGCATTATGGTAAAAAGAACGAGTCCCTATGAACTGGAGATGCAACGCATGCGAGATTTATTAGAGATATTTGAAAGCGATGAAGATTGGATTTTGGAAACTGAAGATGAAACTAGGAATATTTTCTACGCTGTTTTGGTTTAGAAAAAGATAAAACATTAATTCCTGTTGTTCCTAAAAAAGGAAAAACTGTTCTTATGCTTTCAACATTATATAACGATCATACTATAGATGATACTATTGGAGAAAATACAACGTCAGGTATTATATGTTTTTATAATATGACTAAAGGAGCAGTGGATATGAGGGATGAAATATCAGCCAATTATTCAATTGCCAGAATAACAAGGAGGTGGCCAATGGTAATTTTCTTTCCTGCACTGAATGTTGCTGTAATAAATGCTTGAATTATATTACATTCAACTGCTAATCCACCAACCAGAAACAGAAGTCGGTTTTTGAAGGACTTAGCATTACAATTAATGAAAAAACGTATTGAACAAAGATCAGAGATTAATACTTTTCCAAGAAATTGACGTACTGTATGCAAAACAAAAGCAGAAATTTCGACGAAGAATTAAAACGAATACATGAAATTCAAAACAACTAAATATGAAAGACGTGATAAATTTTTAAGGACAGAAGAACGTGAATGCTATGTTTAAAATGTGAAAACATTCAGTGCCAGGAACATATGAATGTATTTCGTTCAAAGTGTGAAGAAATAAAATAAGCATGGTGTATTAGAGATGCAATGAAACTTAGAGGCATGATGTTTATTTTTTTATTATTTTCATTTATCTTAATTTTCACTGTAAGAATATTTTAAAAATTAATTTTTTGAAACACAATTATTATTCACTTATTTATAATACACGAGAACAAAACAAAAAAAAAAAAATTTTAAAACTAAATAATACTATTTTTATTGTATTTTAAATATTGGGATATGTGATACCCCACGCGCCCACTCTAGTAACTTTTCTTGGTGCGACTTCCGCCGGGTTAAGTCAAAAATAAAATGCTCCTCTGTTCAAATGGTTTATAAAAAAACTCATAGCATAAGCAAGAAGCTTGTAATATTTTCTGATGAAATTATAAAATGACGTGACACAACAGAACATAGTTCAGGCTGTAGTGCAAACGGAATTAAACATCTTTCGACTACATAGTCAATGTTTCATTTTTAATGAAAGATATTTGGCACAAAAGCTTAAGTTTCTTTGATCAGAAGCAGAGCTCTGTCACTCAGAAAATACCTTATTAGTCAAATTTCTTACCATTTGATCCCACTTACTAATTTAACACTTTACCGACCGGCCGTCGATTAATTGACGTTTTGTTCTCATCGCATACCGGCCGGCCGTTGATTAATCGACATTTGCTCCCCAGCACTTACCCGACCGGTCGTCGGTTAATCGACTTTTGATCTTTCTGTTAGATTTGGTTATGTTAGATTGACAAGTAGCAAGCAGCAAGCATTTCGCATTCTTTATTCAGATAATCGGTGCTTTTTTCTAAACTTTAGTCCTTAGAAATGAATGAAAAGGATAGTCTCGGCGAGTTTTATCTCGACGACCTGTCAGATTGTCTTGACCGCCGTTCAGCAAGTAATACTGATGACGAAAGTGATAGCAGTAGTATAGCCATTCGCGACGTCCTGTATAATATAGCCATGATCGAAAGCGACGTCCTGTACCATGAATATACAGTGATTCAGAAGACGAGGACATGAATAATAATGTGAAGAAAATAAACAAGACATGGTCAACGAACAAGAGTATAGGGAATTTGAATTGGCAGTAAAAATTACGCCAAGTTCCTCCGAAAGCATAATGGATATTGTGAATTTAACTGGATATTCATTGGAAGTGACTGATTGAGCACTTCGTGAGGGAGAATCTAATAGATATCATTATCAAATTGTGGAAAAATATAGAATTACATCAAAAACGAAAAAAAATGGAAAGCCGTCACGGTGACTGAAATGAAGAAATTTTTGGGCCTGATCATTCTCATGGGACAAGTAAAGAAGGACGTTCTCTACGATTATTAGTCTACAGACCCATCTATAGAAATGCCGTTCTTCTCAAAGATTATGAGCAGGAACAGATTTTTACAAATAATGCAAAGCTGGCATTTTTGTAATAATAACGATATTTCTCCCAATTCGCATAGGCTGGTGAAGGTCCAGCCTGTCATTGATTATTTCAAGGAAAAATTTAACAACGTATATAAACCAGATCAACAATTGTCTCTAGATGAATGTTTAATTCCGTGGAGAGGTAGACTGTCAATCAAAACATATAATCCGGCAAAAAATTACAAAATATGGAATACTGGTTAGAGTGCTGTCTGAAGCTCGTACAGGATACGTATCCAACTTTTGTGTGTATGCCGCTGATGGAAAAAAATTAGAAGAGACAGTATTATCGGTCATTGGACCGTATAAGAACATGTGGCACCATATATATCAAGATAATTATTATAATAGTGTCAACATAGCTAAATTTTTTTTTAAAAATAAATTGCGAGTGTGCGGGACGATTCGAAAGAACAGAGGTCTTCCTCAAATACTTCAAACGGTCAAGCTTTCAAGAGGCCAACATCAATTTCTTAGAAATGGACATAGTTTATTATAAATATGGAATAATGGCAAAAAGAATGCAAACATGATATCGACAATACATTCGCACAAATGGCGGAATCTAGAAACAGAAGCAGGACATCAGATTGCCCCATACAGAAGACTATTTCAATAATAGATTATAATAAATATATGAAGGGCGTAGATCACGCAGATCAATATCTGTCCTATTACTCCATTTTTAGGAAAACAAAAAAAAAAAAAATGGACGAAACGTATTGTAATGTTCTTCATCAATTGTGCACTTTTTAACTCCTTTAAAGTATATACAACTCTGAACAGACAGAGGATTACATATAAAAATTTTCTGCACAAAGCGGCACTTTCATTGATAGAAGACTGCGAAACTGAAGAACAAGGTAAGGATCTACCTAATTCCGAACCCACAAGAACCACATCCCGATTTCATCATCCTGGAAGACTGGCAAATTTCGAAAAGCATAAACTAGTAAATATAGTGACCAGCGGTAAATGTAAAAAAACCCTACGACAATGCAGAGTTTGTGCAAGTAAAAAAAAAACTAAGCAGAACAGGTTTCGCTTGTAAATACTGCAACATCCCACTACACAAAGGTGACTGTTTCGAGCACTATCATAGTTTAAAAAAATATTAAACAACTTCTTTTTTCGACACATATTGTTATATGGATTATGGTATATTTTATGTAAATAATAAACTGAAAACGATTGTAATAGATAAAATAAATATTGTTTAACATTAATATGATTAAAGTAAAAGATTTTAATTCCGTTACCCTACAATAACACGAAGCATACAATTTTACCAGAGTTTAAGAAAAGCACATATATTCCCGCACGTCAGTCTAGGCCGAAACCGAGCCGGTGTCTTGGACGATCTGCGGCTGAGCGGGCGGTGAAAGGGCATAGTATGTTCGAACCGCTACCGGTCGGTAAAGTGTTAGATGGTTCTAGAGGATCAATGTTTTTGGACAACTCAAGCTATCTAAAATAATGCAAGGACAAGTGTATGACAATGAGGTCATGAATATCAATAGCATTTAAGCAAGTTTGTGCATTGCACATGTATTACTTTGAAGTTACTAGATAATAAATTTTTGCATTTTGAAAACTGCCTTACCAGTACTGTCCTCAAAATTTTTAAACACATAAGTTTTACAGGGTTGCCACTCAAAAAGGAGAATGAAATTCCCTGACTTTTCCAGGTGTGTTTTAAGAAAATTTCAGTCTATCCGTGTAATGCACGTTGGCTGTGCTAAGAGGTAAATTAATTATGGTATTACTTGAAAACACAAGAATTTACCAATTACATATGACTTATAGTCCCAAAGCATTACCATTATAATCATAATAGTTG